ATGATCCGTGTTGGGACAGTTAGTTCCCTCTTCTGCAAGCTGATAGATATGTATATCAATAACAACTTAACTAAGCCTACAAAAAGTTCTTTAAAACAGTCTTAAAACAAATCTTTATCTAAATAAGACATACGTTTAATGTTTTATACACGATTATCAGTTTGTTTATTTTGTTCGAAAAAAGAATGGACTAAGTTCTTTTATTTTATTTTTTTGTCATCAAGCATGGACTAATTTGAATACGTGATTATCAACAACAACAAAAAAAAGCATTATGGAAGTAAACCAGAGAATGCATTTTTTATAAAGTAGAACAATTTGGGTACTGACACACATAACCGAAGAATCTCTTTTCCAAGAACTGAATTTAGAACCTGGAAAACTCATATATGACAACTCTCTCTATTCTCTGTCTTTCAAAGCTGTGCCAACGTTGAGATATCTATTGGATAAACGTCCGAAGATGATTGTGCCGTGTAAGATCTCTGTGCAATGATAGTGTTCGCAGCATCCGTTGGATGAAATGCATCCCAAAACACGTACTCATCGCGGTTCAGGCACGGGGGTTGTCCCGGTAAACATGTTAGCTGACCTCCATTTCTTCCAACTCCGCAACACGCTGCGTTCGTAACCCTAAACCCTACAGACATTCATCCAAAGAACCCAATGTACATATCAAGAAAAGCTTTTAATAGCAAAAATGACATGAACATATCGACTTTGCGAGTATTTTTTGTACCATAAGCAGAGGGATTGGCGATAATGTCCTGGAAGACGCCATAAGCATTGATGTAGGTGAACTTAGCATCAGGGTGATCATTGTTGAGTTGTTGGACCAAAGACTTTAGCCTGTTGTTGAAGATTCGGTTGGCTGAGTTGATACGCTCCACGCAAGTTGTTCCATCGGGGCTGCCTTGTGCGAGCGCGTTTGGGCTACACCCAATGGCTCCTATTCCGACCAGTGCAAACTTTCTAGCTCCATAGAGGTATAGATCCTTCGTAAACACACAAACAAAAGATTGTGAGGTTAAGGTTCAGTTGAAAATATACTCAGAATTGAACTGGATGGGTCTCTCCTAAAGAGATAAATATGAAAACTTTATAACCAAAATGAGGTTCATATAGTTAAATTTCTAGCGTAAAATCGAGGTTTTACCAAATGGGTATCTCTAAGAGAACTAAAGGTTGAAACTTTTATTGATTTGGACCAAATGATATTCAAATATCCCATGATAAGGATCTAGGACACACAAAAAAAACAGAGGACTCATTGCATATAGCGTATAGTATCATCGAATTGAACATCACTTAAGTCGAGAAAACTTACATTGAGCTGGTCGAAGTAACGACGGATAAGATCATCAGCGTACTGTTCAGGAGTGTACTGTGTGCTAGTGGAATAGGCTTGAGGCATGAAGTAGTTATTAAGATAGTCATTGCTTCCCAAACCAATAGTGTAAATACATTTACTAAGGTAATCAGCTGCACTATTCTCATCTCCAAGAATTTGCACCACTTGTGACACTGTGTTCCTATAGTTCTGTACTTGCCCACTAAATGTTATTCTTTGTCCCTATCATTCCCCAAACCAAAAAAAAAAAAAGTTACAATCTTTTAAACCGAAACAGAGAAAATTTTCGAGGTCAAAAGTGTGTTTTTGTTTACCAATTGTTGACCGGTTTCTTCTCTGATTCCGGCAGCTGCTGATGCGTAGTTTACTCCTTGAAGTATCTGCTCGCCACTCGCAGCACTATACGCAGGAATGTAGTTATCAAATCCAAGTAGCACAGCTTCATTATATCACAAGATATGTCAGAAACCCATGTTAGATTCTGATTATGACAACATTTCAGTCTCACTCTAGTTAAGTTAAGACAAAATGAGAGAAGAAAAATCAAATATATGAGGAGTTGGGACCGTGTTAAGCTTTTGTTTTTGTAAAGAAGAAGGATAATTAAGAGGGTTACCGAGTTCGTCGACGGTGGTTTTTCCGTTGGAAAAGCGGCCAGTTGGACCGCCCAAATCAATGCCGTAAGGGAAATAGTCAGCTCTTGCAATAGAAGCCAGACGATTGTTGTTTCCATTATCAACCAAAGAATCACCAAAGATGAAGTAACATGGAACTTGAGGCTCTGCTTTTATCATAAACCCTAAATTCAAAAACAAAACCAACATAGAAACTAAACACCATTTTCTCAAGTGACTCTCCATTGATCTCACAAACTAAACTAAAAACACTAAGGGAACTGATTTTTAAGTACTGATTTTTATGTATAGTATTATAACACAATGTTGTTGAAATAAGTGTATAATGTTTTTGAACAAAAAAAAAGGGAAATGTAGAAGTGGTGGTGGTTGTGAAATGTGAAGAATCCAAAGAAGTTTTGAGTCTATATATGGAGTCGGAGAAATGTAAGTGTGTTAAATTTTCTTTTCCTCCTTTGTTTGCTTTTGTTAATTTTGTGGCATCTCTACTTCATTTCAAGATGAGTGGGTCCAATTAAATTAAATTGTATTGTTCTTGAGAGTTATAGTTAAGGACATCTTATGGGGTTAAAGAAAGAATGAACTATTTTGTAAAATGTATCTTCCTGGTAAATGGATTTTTCGTCTCACAAATAACTACATTGTTAGGGGTGGTC